AAAAAAAAAAAAGAAGGGATCGTTGATAATATTATGTTTTTCTAGAAACACTTGTTGAAATCCTTGGTGCCTAGCTGAAGGCTAAGCCCCAGTCACCTAAACAAATTTATTTAAGCAAGAGATATATTAAAAGCATCTACAAAGCTTGTCAGTAATAACTCCATAATGTCAGGATGAAGACTCTTTAAAATTAAAATTCTAGAAAAAAGAAAAAAAATTGAGGACCATAATTTTATTCTACTGATAAATAAAATGTTTGCCATTTCTAAAATTTCGTATTTCAACTTAGTGACTAAAATATAGTAAGAGTTTTATTAAACTAGGAACTAGTGATCGATCTAGAATACTCCAAAGAATACATACACAGAGGTAGTATGCCAATAATTCTACCCGTTCTTACCAATTTTCACAAGATATCTAAATTTCTAAAGCTGGAACTTGGCAATATTCCTTCCTTAGCAAGAATTAAATCAATTTAACAGCATAGGGCAAATGTTTTAAATGGAGCTTGGCAGAATAAGCTATTCCATCAAATCAATGTCAGTTGTTTTTTGTTTATTTGTTTGTTTGTTTTCCCTTCTTCTTCCTCTTCTACACTGTGCCCAAAAGAAGGTTTATGGTTTGGTAAAAGTCCTGAACGGCAGAATAGAGAAGGAAAGACCGCCTCTCAAATAAAGAAGTACAGATCCATTATTAACAAAGTCAAGACATTTCCAGGAGAAAACATCCTAAGTAAAATGAATAAACAAAACAAAACAAAACAAAACACCCATTTGGTCATATTTAAGGGCTACCTTGTGAGTTCACTTAATAATATTCAATATTACTTTAGTGACATGTAATATACTTTTATATAGATCACAAGTGCTATCTAATACAAGAGGGTTCAATAACTGAAATGATTAAAAAATATAATGAGAAAAAATTCCTACCAAAGGAATAAAGTTTATGAGCTAATGTGGGCAGGATCACATTCAATGCAAGGCCTCTGGGAAAATCCTTCCTTAAGTATGCAAGGTATTCATTTGCTTCTATATTACTATCTTTCAGTAAAATACATGTCCCAACAAAACACATCCCAATAAGGGGAGTATTAGCAATATGAGAACCAACGTAAAATAAATATTCATCCGAAGTTACCCCCACACACACACGCATCTGAAGATGGATATCATAATCTCTGCTTTGCTTGATTCCATCATGATACCACACTCGGTAACTGTCCATCTTTATAATATAACATCAAAGAGATGTAAAGACATCGGAAGCCATCTTCAGGAATATCTGTTCCCTCTGCCCATCTTCCCCTGCCCCCTCACCCTCACTCTACACTTTTAGCAGGAGAATGTAGTTTTGGAGAGAACATACTTGGCATTTGACATATCACATAACATTTACACAAGAGTTAACCATTTTTAGAACAAACTGTATTACATATTTTTTCCTGGAAATTCAAACAACATAATCATTCATGTTAATACCCTTTGTTGTCCTGCAGATATTATAGTTTCCTCCCTTCCTTCCTTCCTTCCTTCCTTCCTTCCTTCCTTCCTTCCTTCCAGTTTGGACATTGCTCATTGACTCAAACTTTCTGCTTTGCATTTGGTGAGTGCAATGCCCCCTCCTAGGTAAGGAAGGAGAAATAGCTCTAAATAGCAGCTGTCAATGGAAGAATCATCGCACAACCAGGCACTCGGTGTGACAACATTGGCAAGTGTCACTGTAAAGTGTCAATAGGAAGAGTAAATTGCTCCCAATCCTTTTCCCTAACCTGTTCCTTGTCAAAGAGGATGCTTGAACAGAACCTTATTCTCTCTCCGTCACTATTATCAGTAGGGTAAAAGGGTTCACTTAATCATGGAAAGTAAAATCAGACTAGAACTAAATAAGAGCTATATGACTTTTCCCACGTTGGCATAAAACTAAAAAAAGCAGAATTGGTCAAGAAGTCATAATTAAGCATTAGCATGGAAGCAGAAACATTATCTTATATTGTCACAAAAACACAGTATCAGATACAAGCAGCAAAAAAATGTTCCAGTCAAGCCCTGGTAGCCAGGAAATTCTTTTCAAAGGTGTTTCCTTTTTGGGCTTTCCCAATTTGTACTCAGTACAGGGACCTAACATGAGGGTTTAAATATTCACTTTCAACAAATAAGTAAGTAAATAAATATCTCCTTTTTTTTGTATGTATATCATGTGATTGAAAACAGAATGCACATTTTCAACCCATCGTAAGTAGTGATAAACTGTGTCACAAAACTCATTCTATCATAACCTCTATAATGTATGCAAAATTATAATATGTAATATGTAATAAATTATAATGTATGTATAATTAAAGTATGCAAAAGTACAAAAAAAAATAAAACCAAATCAAGATCTCTATATAGACCATATTGATAAGTGGCACATGAGAGAGCACTGGTATTTTTTAAGGGGCCTTTACAGTAAATATTCCATTCCTTGTATGCCTTTTCATTAAAAAAAAAAAAAAATGCATATGCTCTCCCATTCACAAATGCACTCAACCCCACACAGATGTATAAAAAAAAGAACTTACACAATTTCGTCGTTCTGGAACTCGAGCTCTCCGCAAGTGTCCTCAAAGTCCTCCCCACCACCTCTGGCAGTCCCTTCGATGGTTTTATAGGGAACGATAACATTTCCTCGAGCTCCAGATGTTCTCAATACCTTCACCTCCATAATGCCAATGCTCTCGCTCACATGAGTCACAGGTTCCTCAAAAGTAAAGATGCCAGCGTGGTCATCATCGAAGATAGTCACAGTGGCAGTGGAGGGAGAGCCGAGGCAAGCGAGTGTAGAAACATGATTGGCTTCCAGGATGCCATCTTCTGAGGCTTCGGAAGATACTTTAACGTTGCTCAGATGCACAAGGAAATTTTCATCCTCCTCAAAGATATCGTCATCAATGATGCCAACTCTGATTTCCTTCTGGGTCTCACCAGGCTTAAAGACCACAGTTCCTTCGGTAAATTCGTAATCAGACCCAGCATTGGCTGTGCCATCTTCTGTTCTGAAGTCAACAAACACAGTGTTGGTCAAATCACCACCTCTGCGGAGAATGGTCAGGGCTACAGTACCACAGTTCTCCAGACACTGGTATGTCCCTTGTTCAAAGAAGATCTTACTAACAGGGTCATTTTCAGCCACTTCAGTGTTGACCTCATGCATGCTGACTGCCTTCCTTGCCTGGTCAGCTGCATGCCTCTTTAAAATGTTGCCAGCTCCAGTCATCAGGCGAGTAGCTTGGATGCGGTAAAATGCTCGACTTTTTTGCTGCTGACTTAGGACTTGGTAGTTAGCTAATTCTATTAATTGCTCTATTTCTTTCTCCGGATGTTTCTGCTTGAGCTCCTTCAGAATCCTAGCCATTTCTCGCCTGGCCTCTTCATCATCTTGGTCCCTCTCGTCAACCTCCAGAACCAGGGCACCATCTAAGAAATTGTCAACGTGGGAATTGACCACTTTCCCATCCATTTCAATTTCAGTCTTGGAAGATGGCCTGTCTCCTTCATGTTCAATAATCATTCCCCTCTGCTTGCCAGCCCGATACCTCTTGTAGACATACTTGTAAAACAGAAGCCTCCTATCTGCTACCCAAGCGAACACAACACAGATGGGAAAGAAGAAGAAAGTAAGCAAACCTTCCCACACCTCCACGACCCCAGGAGAGATGACAGACAAAATAATGTAAAGCCAAGTATAGGCAAAGATGCTCCAGGCTGCTGTCACAAAGAACACACGCAAATGCTTAATCTTCCTCGTCTCTCCATCTGGGACCACGTAAACACAAAGCGCGATAATGATGAACATATTGAACGCAGCACTTCCCACGATGGTGCTGGGACCTAGGTCTCCCGCAGTGAAGTTATGGCCACACACTTCAATTACCGAAAGGAGAATCTCTGGAGCAGAAGATCCCAGGGCCATCAAGGTCAGGTTCGAAACGGTCTCATTCCAGATCCTCACAGTGGTCTTGGTGGTCTCTCCATTGGGTTTCTTTATGGTTATTTCTTTTTCTTGAGACGTGATGACTTCTATAGAGGACATGAACCGGTCGGCAATGATAGAGACTCCGAGAAACATGTAGACCATGGCCACGAAATACACGGTAGCTCTAGCAATTTTGTCTCCAAAGGAAGGGTCTTGGGGCTCCCAAATGGGTAAAATCACCCCCTTCTTACAGTAATATGAGCCGGTACACTCGCCAGTTTCATTGCCTTCTCCTTCCATTTCTGTGTCAGCACTTATAAGGTCCACATGGGAAAATAAGAGAGCCACGAAGGCTAACAGATGAAATCCCACTGAAAATGTAGGTGAGAGTCTTAATCGCAGCATGTTGTACAATGGTAGACTTCCAACTGTCCCAACCTACCAGTAAAAATAAGATGGAGGGAGGGTAGGGGGAAAAAAAAAATCACACCATCAGAGCCAGATCCAAAGCATGACTAATTACTTACTTTTATTACTTTTACCAATGATTTGTTTATTTTTGGCTACCATAACATCTATGGTGAATCATTATTCTAAGTACCCATCATTGATTAAGCAACCCTTTGTAAAACTCACAACTCAATCTCTCTGCTTTTCTACATGAAGCCTCCATTCCCGGAGCAATGTATACAATTGACTTCCTGGAAGTGAAAAGTTGAATTATAGGTTTGCCTTGTTGAATACATAGTTGGGCATACTAGCAGCCAATAAGGGGCGGGGGCGGGGGAAGACTTCTGAAGCACTGAATAATTTTCTCCTTGTTGCTAATGCAGGTTTTCTTTCAAATTTTGGTTACTATAATCACCTTCCAGAAATGGTTTCATTGCCAAAGTCACCTTATTAAGACTGCTGTTTTAATGTTCAGACTCTAAAAACTTTACCAACACAAGGCCTCTCAATGATCTTAAATTCTGGAGCACACCTTACACTGCATTTTATGAAATCATGTCCTATGGCTCCAAGCTTACTTGGAAACACAGGGGTATCTTCAAGGTTTCCCACAAAGTCAATGGTATTTGTACTTGAGAGGAAAAATATTCTGCTGTAATGCAGTATTTCTGCACATTAAGTATAGTTTTTAAAAACATATTTTGAGGAGAGTACATTTCCTCCTAATTTTCAGCAAGCCCAGTTCCCCGGATATGTTAGCAGTTGGGCATCTGGTTCTTGAAGCACAGCTCTTTGAATCTGGGTACAGATCTCGCTTTAGAATCTACAGGCTGTCCACAGCAGGAAAGAGAGATAACCAGGCCCGGGTCTAGTCGTGTGTTAAGGCTCTTGTCTGACAGGCTGTGAAATCAGCTTTCCCTAGCCATAAAATGTTCCTTCTCGGTGTTGATGTCATACTTTTCCATGGTCATTCGAAAACATATATTGGTTCTGCACAGGGTTCAAGTGACCAAAAAATCCAAGAGCAATAATTCCATCTAAATTAGCTCATGTGGCAGAACAACAGTGACCACAAAGTATATACATGATGAAGGGCTGTAAGTAATTAGGGATCTAGCAGCAGAGTCACTGAGCCACATAAAGCTTGGTAAACAAAGCAAAGTTGTGGGCTGGAAAACCATGGCACTAACCTCACCCACCAGCTCAGGCAAAACTCCACTTGGACCATACATCACCTCTGCCTCTAAGGCTTGGTTAGGTGCTGACATAGAGGAAGGTCTGGTCCAAGTCAGGGTAACTCTGGTCTGGAAGGCCAGTTACGACATCAGATACAGTGTTGGTAAGAAGGGGTCCTGAGTCAGAACATCACCTTGTGGCCTGATAAAAACTTAAAAGTGGAGGTAGACTGGAGCTTTTCAGAGCCTGGGGCAGTCTAAGAGCCTCCCACACATTCATCTACATTCTCTGGCCCATGTTTGCTACTGATGGCATATAGTGGAAATTCACTATGGCCCAGGAGAAACCCCCTGGCCCGGCACATTCTGGCAGACCCTCAGAGAGCCCACCGTTGCCAAAAAGCCCCTTTTAGCTCATCGCTATTAGGAGATAAGCTTTGACATTTTCCCCACACTAAAGACACAGCAGAGGGTCGTGGTAGCAGAATTACATTCTACATAAAAGGCTGAAAAAAGAGAAAAAAGCATATTTTTAAAATATGCAAGATTCATGGTCCGTGATTCTACTTGTTCGGTCATTATAGGGCTTGGGTAGGTTGTGGGATCGCCACTTAAAACAGGGAGACATTGAAGCAACCTGCAAGAGTAGTGGGAGACCTAGTTTAAATTCCCTTACGCAGCCATTTATTCCACAAATATTTATGAGTGCCACCTACTACATGTTTTAGAATGACCTGCGGGGGCTCTCTCCTAGGTCCTAAGAATTCATCAATGAATTAAATGCAAAAAAAATACAAAGTCTCTGTCCTTGAAGACCTTATTTTCTATCAGGGAGGAAACAAATAAATAAATGTCAGATGTGAAAAAGTGCTGGAGAGGTGGGGGCAGAAAACAATATAAGTAGGAGAGGGAGTCCATGTGTGTGAGAGCATGTGTGAGTGTATATGTGAGTGTGTGTACATAGCATACATGATTTTATATTGGATCGTTAAGAAAGGCATCCCTGATGAGATAACATTGGAGCTAAGTCCTGAAGGAACTAAGGGACCCAGCCCTGTGGATATCTACAGGAGGAGAATTCCAAGTAAGTGCCAAGACCCTGTTGGGACTTTTCTTTGCGTAATCTAGGAGCCATAGAGGAACCAGTGTGACAAGAGGGCAAGAGCAAGGGGAACAGGGCTCAGAAGCTGGGGACATAGTGGGAATGGATCAGGAAAGGAATGGAGTCCACCTTAAAGCACTGGCTTTGATGGTGAAAGAGATGGAAATCATGGGGAGGTTCTGATCAGAAGCGTGAGATCAGCTGATTTTCCTGTTACAAAGATCTTTCTGCTTGTTCCCTGAAGAATACAGTTATAGGGACAGGCAAGAAACAAGGAGACCAGGTTTTGCCTTTTATTTAAAAATCTGGGGGCACTTGAGTGGCTCAGTTGGTTAAGCTCCTGACCCTTGGTTTTGGCTCAGGTCATGATCTCACAGTTCATGAGTTCCAGCCCCACATCTGGATCTGCACTGACAGATAGATACATAGATAGATAGATAGATAGATAAATAAATAAATAAAACTTAAAAAAAAAACCCTGAATTATAAATGATCCCAATGCCTGGCAGGTATAAAAAAGGATACAATCAAGATTTCTAGTTTAAAACCTTTGGAAAATTTACAACTTAAAACGTCTTGGGAACCTGTGAAGATCAGAAAGGTTAAGTATTTGCTCACAGAGTGTAGTATGGAATGGAGAGAGGAAACCCAGAACGGAGATTCCAACCTGTGCCTGTCTCCAGGACTGATATAATTCACCACTTGCTTCAAATCCCTGCCAAATCTCATCATTCCATTTTCACATTTCAGCCAAAATGAGCTTTCTAAAGTACAGCTCTGACTCTCTCACTCCCCTTAAAACTCTTCTTTGGTTGCCTATTGCCCTGAAAACAAAACCCAATCCCCTCAACAAGCTGTTCAGACCTTTTAGGATCTAGCCTCTGAGTTCTAGAATATGGAAATTCTTTCCATCCCCTGACCATGACCATGCGTTCTTACCTCCAGCTCTTCGAAGACTGTGTGTTCTGTGCCCCCAACTATTTTCTTTCTTAGAAGTAAATGTCAAAACAGCACAACAGCAAATCATGGCCAATTGCCTGAGAGATTAACAGGAGGTTCTATTTACAAACACTACAACAGACTCTATGCTAAATTCTTTATATGTATTCTTATATCTAATACTTACAATAACCAGCATTGCTATTTTGTACAACTCCTAGTGTTGCCATTTACATTACAGTCCATGAGAATAGCACTGCCTGGAGTTATGTAATGCTCAGTGCCCTTACAATCACCCTATGCAGTAGATATTATTAGCCCACTTCGGAGACGGGCTTCACTGAGGCACAGACAGGTTAAGTACTTGGTGGAAGTCATAAAGATAGTAAACTCCCAAACGAAGATTCAAACCCTGGTCTGTCTCTGAGACTGGTATCATTAACTGTTCCATAACAGCATCCCTGATAGTGTGTGAAGTAATCTTAGAGAGCTATTGGATTTGGACTTGGACTGGCCCATTGGAAAACCTCTTGGCTTCCATGAAGGGTTGGAGGGCCTCAGTAGCAAAGCCCCATGGAAGGTTTCCAACAGCCTCACTTTGATCTTGTGGATTAGGGACTCAAACAGACAAACATTGAGAGCTGTGGTGTAATGTACAGGCTGGCATGTTCCTAGACACAATTGCCCTAAACTTGCTTGTTTTTTACCAATTACCTGGCCACCTCTTCCTGCACACACTCTCAGGGCAATCCCTTAGGTCAGCCAGAAAAAAAAAAAAAAAAAAAAAAAAAAAAAAAAAAAAAAAAAAAAAAAAAAAAAAAAGTCCTGCCCAACCCACATCTCACAGCATATTCTTAGCCAAAAGGGTACAGATGTCTAAGGGCGGATGCATCAGTAAAAATTCCTATCAGAGAAAAAGGAAGGGGGTTTCTGAGGTTAACTTCAAAACATCACAATTATATTCAAAAGGTGGTAGTGTTGTAATCTGTGAAATCAGTGGACACAAAACCCTGATACAGATTTTTGGCAATGGAGCGACTGGAAAGAACTCTCTGGACCTCAGTTTCTTTCTTTACTAAATTAATTACCAAATCCAAATGCTTTGGAGGATGTGGGGCAGATGTTATCTAAATAAGAGTTCCTTCCTCATTCTTTTGTTTCAGGGTATTTCTTCTGTCATCAGATTCAAGCAGAATTACCTGACCCTTCCCACTGTCTCCTTAAATACCTATTTCCATAAAAATTAAGCAGGGAATAGAGGCTGTTGATATGTCATTCTGTTGCCCAGCTTTCTTATATTCTGCCCTGGTCTACTGAACTCTGTAACAAGGGGGAGGCTATTTTTCACAGTGGTTTCAAATCAACTCTTACATCAAAGGCTGATTCTTGCTTAGGAATATCCATTACATCATCTAAATGAGCCTTCGGCACAAAGTCAAGAATACCCAGATCGTCTTCTGCTCACTATTTATTTTAAAGGAAAACTAACAATGCCACATCTACAGATGTGAATGGCAGTGATGAAGGTTAGTGAAAAGGCCCAGACACCATGTTGAAGGTGGCGAGGTCATAGGAATGGAACATGCACCTGTAAGACAGATGTTTACCAAGACAGATTTCCTTGGTAAAGAGTGGGGAAGAGCCCCCCACTGCAGAGGCCTGAGGAATAATCAGTGTAAGGGGTTCCCTGTGGGGGTCTGTAGCCAGCTTTGACTACCAGAGAGGACCCGACTCAGAGAGAAGAAACACCTTTGGCACCCCCACCAGTCCAG